AAAAAAAGTATAATTTTGAGGGAATATAAATTTTCTAAAGTGATCAAAGTTGATATGGATGAATTATCAAATTATTTAGCCCAAGATCAAATTCTTAAACTTAGATCAACTCACACTCACCTTCAATTGAATAAAATTAATCGGTCATAATCGTATTAAAAAAGAACATGAGATTGTGTGCGATCATTCTTCTTTCTAAATAGATCATTAGAGTCAAAAAGTTTGGTTAGGCAAAGACCTTAATTTGTATGTGTTATGTTCTAAGTTTTTCGTTTATTTCATCAGTAGATAGATGTGTATGTGTAGAAATGAAATGTAATTTGTAAAAGGGAAAATGAAATCAAAATCGCTGGGTGATTCATTCGTTCCAAAAAATGGTAAAACATAAGCAGATTTCGACGAGTTTTAAGCTATATGTGCATAAACCTGAATTAGAATTACATTTGAGGCTTTTGTTACTTTCTCAGGAAACAAGCAACAATCAAATGGAATGGAAACTTGAGAGAAAACAGCTGGAGATTACTCCCTAGAGCAGGGGAACTTGCTTTTAGCATATAAATGTGTATATGTAAATCTAGAAGGCAGCTGAATTCAAGACTTTGAAGCAGAGCTAATCAAGTGGATGGTGGCACTTGTGAGTAATCTCGTTGCAGTTTAGAAACTACTTCCCTGTTACTCCTTTTAAGCTTAGGTGGAGTGCCACATGGCGCCCATGTGATATAATTCAGCTCTCTTAGTTTTACTAGGAATTAATGAATATTAAAAAGTGATTTTTAAAACTGTCAAGCAATCTTGAAAATTCATAATCTCTTAATAGATATTAAGAAAAAGAAGTATATGACGAAATTTATTTTGAGATAAACAAAATGGATGTTTAACTTTTTTGAATTTGTAAATTTTTATTTTGATTTTGATTTTTCATTTTTATTGTAAATCTCACTATATATATATATATAGCATCAAATATCATGTCTTGTGATTTTGGCCAAAAAAAACAATTTTTTTTTATACATGTCAATCCAAGTGTTCTACCTGAACCTGAAGCCAATAACATTGATTTTTTTTTTTTTTTTTTTTTTTTTTTTTTTGGTGATAATGTCCTTCTGTCTTAGAGTACAAGAGACTTTATTTCTTTGATGGTTTTACCCTTCATGATCTTCTTTGAAAAATTAAGATAATGAAAATGTTTTGAACACCCAACAAATCAGGGTCCATAGCTCAGTGGTAGAGCATTTGACTGCAGATCAAGAGGTCACCGGTTCGAACCCGGTTGGGCCCTTATAATTTCCTCTCTTTTTTTAACATTTTTCCCTGACATGTCAAAAAAAAAAAAAAAAATTCCAAACCCAGATAAAACCCTGACTTATATCAAGCCCACGGGGATCCTGGATTCCCGTACCTTTGGACCGCAGTCACCGCAAGGTCTATTGTTTCTATCGAGCGACATTTGGGCAAATATTCTAAACCCCTTAGAGTCAAGCTTAAGGGTAAAAGCCCAGTTAACTTAACGACTTCAAATTGGGCTCATAAATCTCCTACCTCTTCACATCAGTTCTCTGTGGCAACTCACCAGATCAATAGAAGTTGATAATCTCTTTGAAGGTAACAAAGCTACTATTTTGCAGGGACTCTTTAAAATCACTTGGCAAGTTACTTGAGTAGCAAAACTTATGTTGGATGTGCCTGATTACTCCTGTTTTCCTCTGTTAGTTACTCCTCCTATGTTGTTTCTGTAAACTTCTTGTCTCGTAGATTGAACTTTTTTATTTTTTGAATGCTTAAAAGGATTTGAATTGAATACATTAAATTTGAATAAAGACCAGAGTCATTGATTGATTGCTGACAACGTTGCCACCTGAGTGACACTCCAATAGCTCAATACTTAAATGTAACTTAAGACAGCACTAAACAACTTTGGGAAAGTTATGAGCGATTTCGTCCTCACTGCTGGACCAAACCCCTCGTGGTTATACATCTGATTTTGTAAATCGCTTAATAATGGTGTGTATCACTTAATTTCATAAGTTAGGTTCAATCTTTCTTCCTCTCAAAAATTGCTTTTGATAAAAAAAAAAAAAAAAACCGTGGTTGTATTATTTTTTTCTCTTTTTGAACGGGATGCTTTTAAGTCTATTTTTATGTATTTTAAAATTATTCATCTGACATATTTTAAAAAATTAAAAATTAAATTTTAAATTTATAATTAAAAATATAATTAATTTTATCATTAAATCATATGGTTTATGATCGAAGATTAAATTTCTAAAACGCTGACCGAGGGTCCGAGACTGCCCCAAGGCTGTACTCGGTTGCTAGTGGATTCGGTCAGAAAAATGGATTTCAGACTCCGGTCAAAGACTGCTGGAACGCTTTGTTTGGCCCCTGTGGGATGTTTTTAGACCATTAAGGAACCCTTCTACTTTTGAAAATTTCGTCTTTTTTCTGCTGAATTCTCATAAGATAAAGTTTTTTAAAATTTTGCAAGTTTAATCAATTAACGTCATTTAGTTAACTAATCCAAACTTCAAAATCAAAGGTCGAGCAAACAAAAACTTATCAATCTTTTTGAAATTCTTTTGCTAGGATAGAGTATCTGGACATGTTATTGGTGCTTAATTATTACAATCAAGATTAAAAATGTTATTTATTTAAAGTAAATTGACTTTATTTAGCTAACTTTAATATTTAGTGTGAAACGCATATTAAGATGGTCTACCTATCAAAGTTCTTAAGTTTTTTCTAATAAAATTTCATACCATAGTTTACGTGGTAAATGTGGCCCCATCTATATATGATATAGTCTAAGAAAAATTATATTTTGATGTTAAGAGAGATGATTAAACTATAAAATAAACATTATTAATTGTTTAAAATAAGAAAAATGTTAGGACAATAAAGAATTTAAGGTTGATTAAATGTTAAAATACAATTTTATTGAGTCACCAAGTGTTATCTAATTTTAAAAGAGATGTAATATCTTATCTGAAAAACTAACAAAATTTTGACAACTAGATTATTTTGATTTGGGAAGAAAAAAGTTGAGGATGTCATGGCATTAAGAATATTAAGATGTATAATAATAATCAAATGATAAATTTGATAAAATTAAAATCTATATTATAATTCATATATTTAATAGTTGTTTAATAATAGTCATATGATGAATTTAATAAAATTAGAATCCATACATTTAATAATTGTAATTGAACATTCTAATATGTGTAATACCAGAATGTCCTGATTTTTCCTTCTCTCTTTTGATTTTTGATACTTTTATTTTTTCCAAGTTTAAGACCAATTTGAGAGAAAATAAACTTTCTAAACCAAAATGATAATAAACCTATAATTAAGAGACTAAATGTTAAATTTAGGCGATTTCACTTTGCACAACCCCCCAAAACCCAAATCGCGTATTTCTAACACGCGCATCCGCCACCACCACCTGTCATCCCCTCACCCCTCAACAAGTTTTGACGGTGTCGGTGATCTCCCTCTTCCTCCCAATTTAACCTTATTTTTTAAAATAAAATTGAATAAAATCTTTCTGAATTTTGTTTTATTTCCTTCTTTCGATCCAATTTTTCTGGAGCTTGATCTGTCCTCTTCGTTTTCGATCTCCAAGAATCCGGTTTAGATCGGATTCAGATGGCGGCGACGAGACGGTTGCGCGACCTCCAATCTCAACCAGGGAACAAGATCTGCGTCGACTGTGCCCAAAAGAATCCGCAATGGGCTTCCGTCTCCTATGGCATCTTCATGTGTTTGGAGTGCTCCGGCAAGCACCGTGGTCTCGGCGTCCATATTTCTTTCGTCAGATCTGTTACCATGGACTCCTGGTCCGAGATCCAGATTAAGAAGATGGAAGCTGGTGGTAATGAAAAGCTTAACGCCTTTCTCGCCCAGTATGGCATTCCCAAGGAAACCGATATCGTCGCCAAGTACAATACTAATGCTGCTAGTGTTTATCGGGATCGGATCCAGGCCCTTGCCGAGGGCCGTCCCTGGCGGGACCCGCCCGTTGTTAAGGAAACGCTCGGCGGTTCTAATAAAAAGCCTCCGTTGAGCAGTGGAGGAGCAAAGAGCGGTGGTTCTGTGAGCGGTGGTGGATGGGATAGTTGGGATAATGACGATTCGTTTAGATCTTCTGCTGATTTGAGGAGGAATCAATCTACTAGCGATTTTAGAGGCGGCAATAATGGTGGCGGTATGGGAGGTGTGCCGGTCAGATCGCGGTCGACAGAGGATATCTACACCCGCTCACAATTGGAGGCTTCTGCTGCGAACAAAGAGGGCTTTTTCGCCAGGAAGATTCAAGAGAATGAGTCGAGACCTGAAGGGATCCCGCCCTCTCAAGGTGGGAAATATGTCGGGTTTGGATCAAGTCCTGCGCCTTCCCAAAGGAATAATCATAATTCACAGGGAGATGTGCTCTCTGTTGTGTCTCAGGTGATTGATTGTTTCTTGTTTTGTTAATTGTTATTTTTAATATAATCGGTTTGCTGTTGTTGGGTGAAAATGTTTATTATCTGGCAATTGTTTAATGTGTTATTCAAGCAGGGGATTGGAAAGTTATCCTTGGTTGCTGCATCTGCTGCACAATCTGCAGCTACTGCTGTTCAAGCGGGCACAAGGGAGATTTCTACTAAGGTATTTTTGTGGTTTTGGTTCATTTTATTTGATGTTTGTTTGGGAAGATCGGTGTTCCATGGCGATTAAATTTGTTATTTTAATTAATTGCATTTATATATTCATTTTCTGATGCTATTTTTTTTCCCGTTTTGGATGCTACATTGATATATTGAAATGCAATCCATGATGGGTTCTTGTGTACAAGCTTTGTTGTTGGACCAGAAAATTTCCAAATAGGATTCTTTTGCTGATCAAAAACAACTGTAGGTGTCTAATGTTTTTGAGTTTGTAATCAAGGTCAATGGCTAAATCTTTTTATTGAAGGCAAATGACTGAATAACTAGGTGCTGTCCTGAAAACCTGTACACTGCATCTTGGCAGTTACAATGTTTTTCTTCTGCCACATGCTGCTATTCTGAATACTAAAAGTAGGATTAGCCTTTAGGGGCTTCATCATTATTGGATTATCCTGTGGCTCATGATTTTTAATGGAATGCAATTAAGTGATGGATAGTCCTGCTCTAGTTTTACTAAAATATCATTGCCAATAACATCTGTTAGCTTATGCTAAATTGTAGTGAATCTAGTGATTGATCATTGTCTTGCTAACTTGCATAAGCTCTCATTGGATACTATTGGCAAAGGTGGTTGTTTGTCTGTGATCCATATGGTTATAGGCTGTCCATTTGATCAAGGGATGGGGGTGCTG